GAGAGAAACAGAGAAAACCTGAGAGAGTAGAAGAGCATGACAGTGGTTAGTGCGTGTGTGTGCGTGTCCATGCAGGGCTAAAAGAAGCCGATCAATAGCTTCCTCTTGGCAGTAGATTTACCGCAGCAGTAAAGTCCTTCACAAACGTCTCGCCTGGCCGTAGCTCTCTTATCTCTGTGCTATTTATACCCTCTTATCTTTATAAACTAGTTTCTCCTTCAGTTCCAAGTTATGATATCGCCTCGGTGACTGATTGCTCCAACATGTATGAATTCCAAACATTCATTTGAGTGATTAATGCAAATTCTGAAAGTGTTTAAAAAACTCTCTGCTCTTTATATTCCTTATTAAACGCTGCTTGTCGTGCTGCTTTTCATTTCTGCTTATTATTCTGTTGTAGTATTTGCTACACGCCTAAAATACATATTTTAGTGTATTTTAACTGTACTCTAATTTGAACCAGAAAACCCAGAAGATTATAGAGGTTCTGACTTGCACCAGCAGGTGGCAACTGGGTTTCCTCTGCAGAGATATACAGTGTTTTCCTCACATAACTGTGTCGTTTAGTTCAAAGGGTTCATTTCAAATATGCTCCACAATCATTATTTTGTCAATGCGAGTATTTTATTACAGCAGAATTGATCATGCAAGTACAAAAAACTATTCTAATGTAACATTTCTCGTCTTATTTGCTTTTGCAAAGCCAGAGATCAGATGTGAAACTAAATGAACCACTTTTAATAGACCGTTTCTAGATCTATTTCAGATCCTGTTCCTGCTGATGTCCAGCTCACTGATCTTTAAACCGTTCTATTAGACATCAATTAAGCTTTTGTAGATTAAAATTGTCAGAAATTAAAGATGAATCTACAAAGGAGCAGCTGTGCCTTCTCTTAATATGAACTATTATGGCGTCTGTGCTTTGTTTTAGAGAAGTAGTCGCTACTCGCTGCCATATCTGATTGTTAAAAACCGGACACATTTTACAGAGAGCCGAGTTCCCCGAGATTAATGAGAACAATTTATATTAAATTTGTTATAAGTCTGTAAACAGTGTAATTAACACAGGACTGAGGGGGTGACACATACCATGCCAAGATAAACTCTGCACTGTCTGCTGCAGCTATAGACTGGGAAACCAATTACCTGACAGACGAAGAACCAAGGTCGCAACAGTGTGTGTGTGTGTGTGTGGACTTTGAGCTCATTAAAAGAGAGTGACTCTCAGATCTCTGTTTACAGAAAGAAAAAAGGTACAGTAGGAGGGATGAAGGGAGGTATCATTAACTTAAAACAAATAAGGTAAATTAAAAACTAGACCTTATCCTGCCCTGAAAACACTGTAAGAAGCCTTATCAGGTCCTTAAACTGCAATTTGGGAACATTAGGTATCAGAGTCTCGTTAAATCCGAGAAGGGAGGAATGAGGTTGTCCTCTTTAAAAGGGTTAAAAGGTGAGGGGTCATAGCAGACAGGTGAGGAGGCTCTGATTACCACAGATCTGGACTTAAAAGGAATGTACTCACACAAGCACACATACAAACAAACAATATTGTCCCATTAACCTCTAATTTGAACCCACAAAGGGAAATCACGAAGCAAAGCAGAGGAGGTTTATAACTATAATGTATTCTGCTCAACAATCTGCATACTAATAGAGCCAAATAATCATTAAATAATCGCCCTGGTCTTCTGTAAAGTGGAACAGCGGCAATTTTACACATCAAAGTCTGTTTACAGGCCTTAAAAAAGGTTGTACAAAGTCTTTCGTGGCTCCAGAGGCAGCGGATAAATTCCCTCGAGTGAGGGATGTGTGAAATAAATAAATATATTTATATATTTTTAATTTATCCAACATGTTTCAGAAGTGCTACGCTAAATTGGTGGAGAACTCTTTTACTGACCAATTCATGCCAAGATGACACAAAGAGACACTTCACGCTTGTTCTGCAGCGTCTCCACTTCTGACAACTTCCTTGTTTGTGGTTTAAACTGTTTACATATATCAACTTTAAATATTGTAGCACTGTAGATTGCACGAAGCCCCCTTCCTAAAAAGGATACAGTGACTTCCTGCGTGCCTGGTTTACACAATAATTCATTTTTATTTTCATTTTCTTTTTTTTACCTTCAATTTGAAGTACTGAAACTCTCATTTACTTTACTTACTCTACACTTTTGCATGGCTTTTTTTTCTTTTGGGGTTTGTTATAAAAGGTTGTATTGTCCACTTATTTAGACAATTAACATATGCTTTATATTGTAGTGTCCTCATATTTTGTTTAGCACTAATAAAAAAAGACCCTGGCAGCTGAAGTCAGTGACATTGTCTTTGGTTGTGATCGTGAAGGATTCAACAGAATGAAACAGACTGTGGAGGCTGTTGATTTGGAGCTGAATGATAGTTACAACAGGAAGGAGAATGCAAATATCTGTTGTGAACTAGAGGCTAGAAACGTACCACCCAACTTATATTTGTGTTGTCTTTTCCCACAGTACCCACAGTACCGACTGGTCACAGAAATGCCAGTATGACTCATTTTGTGTTTTTCTTTTGTACATTTTTTTATCTGAGCAATTTTTTCAACCCAAAACTGTTTGATAAGAGTTAAAGAAGACCCAAGTTTCAGACACACTACCTTGGTGTTGCTACGGTGTGAATGCAGAGTGGGGTTAATAAACACACCAGGATTCGACATGGCAACTGAACTGAGCGATTAAAAACCAACCAATCACAGTCTAGCAGTCTACAGCATGGGTGAGCAGACGTGCACTGTGGGACAACAAGAGGGACGTCCTCCCCCGCTGTGTACTCACCAGAGAAATAAACTGTAGAGAGGAGGAGAAAAAGACGAGCGGAGGAGAAGGGATGGAGGGTGGAGGTGAAGATGAAGATGAAGAGAGGAGAGGATGGGCAGGTGACACCCAGCCAGGAGGGCAGAGAGGAAAGAGTTAAAAGAAAACACTGGAAAAGAACTGGCAGCATGGTGAGAGACAGTGAAAACAGAACAAAGAGGAAGGAGAGAGAGGAAGATGGAAGAGTGAAAGTCAGAGAGAAGACAAACAAATACTTGACAAAGGGAGCCAAAAGAAAGATGATAAGGAGAGACATTTAGAATACAAACAAACAGGAAAACAACAGTGAAAAAACAAAACACGGAGGTGTGGAGCGAACAAATAATGAATCAAACTCACCTTTATTTCTCGCTGCTCCACTGATTTCTCCCATATCTGTTGGTCATAGGCGCCAATCTGGAAAAACAAACAGATTAAAGGGTTAATGGCGACATATGGAGCTACAGTAAACAGAAAGCGGGTACATGGGTGCCCTCCACGCATCGGCTTCTTAAGAAGGAGGAAGAGGAATAATGGTCCGAACCACAATAAAAGGTTTTTCTTCGACGCACTGAAAAGCTTCACTTCCCTTAATGATGTTCATAATGCTGAGCAACGACTCTGGAAGGATCTTTCATTTTTACTAAACATTTTAAAACAAAAACAATGTCACTTCGTTGCTTTTTTTCTCCTCCTGCCAGCGCCCCGTCATTTTCTGAGCAGCATCATTATAACTCTTTAAAAACCTGTGATTGACTTCCTAAACTCAGTTTTGCATTTTAATATGCTCCTACAGTAGTAAGATCAGTAATAACCTTAGGCCACACCTTTTGACAATATGACACGTTCTGTAAAAACTTCTCGTAAAACTTCATAGTGTATTATGTTTACACGGAGTTAAATGTTCAACCCAAGAATGTTTTTATGGCAGCACCATTTCATCAAATGGGAATACTGTGGATGTCTTGTGTATCATTTTATACACATTTCACCAAAATGTGAAAAATAACATGAATAAAACATAGAAACAAAATAAAAAGATAATATAAAGTCACCGTACAGACGACGTCACCTTAATATTTAAGTTTATACATGACAAGGATGGGTTTACTGTGTGTTAAGCAAATATACATGTTATAATTAAGGTTTGGCATCTTTAAACCCCTTTGGGATCTTCAAAATAAAGTTGTGTGGATTTACACAATGTTTGTGGAGTTGAAAGGGTTAGCATACTTCAGCACCAAACCAACAACACACTGTATCTCCATTATGTGACTTCTTTGCTCTCGTTGACCTCTCGGTTTTTATTTTTTCCTTTCTCGTCGCTGAAGTGCAGTTAAAAACCTGTGAAACTGGTCAAAATTTACAGGACAGGTTTAACTAGAGCGCAGTTTACGAGAAACCTCTCAGACAGCATGATCTTGTACTACAGCCAGTATTTATCAATGTCACACAAACACGCACACGCAGAACACGCCGGGAGGGATGGGAGAGTACGACTGTGGGGGAAATGCATGCGGCACCACCGGCCACTGTCGCAGAGATCAATACACTTGCAGAGTGGAAGAGAGAAAGTGTGTGCGCGAGTGTGTGCGTGAGGCCAGTGGAGTGGTTAATGCGCACTTAGGTAGATCTATGACAAACGCTCATATACGGAGTGTGTCTGTATGAGAAAAGCACAACAGAGACGACAGAGCGACAGAAAGAGAAACAGACAGGGGACGTGGGAACGAGATAGACGTGTACCTTGCCCAGACATCTGACCTGGAAACCCATACAAACGCTCAAAACAAACACACCCCAAGGTCAAACGGTACGAACTCCACCCGACAGAGTTTCCAGTTTCTCATTTCTCCTCCTCTTTAATCCACAGTCACAATTAGCAGATAATACTCAGCTCTGACTGCTGGGAGGCAAGAGTCACACAATCTGGTTGCTTTTCATACAGCGTGTGTGTGTGTGTGGTGTGTGTGTGTGTTGTGTGTGTGTGTGTCTGAGACTTAAAAGAGGATCAGCTGATGCTCTGACCTCAGCAGATCAGTGTATTCATGCGAGTGTGTTTGAGTGTCTGGGTCAGTCCGCGAGCTCGCCAGTGGAAACTCTGCATCTTTAATGAGACTTCATTAAACATGGATAGGAAGATGGGAATGGGAGAGAGAGAGGAAGACGAGGAAAGAAAATATGAAGAGATGACAGAAACAGTTAGAGAGTTACTTTATAGATCTCTTTCTCTCAAACCATGTTTCTGTTGGGCAATATCACTTATATCTGGTTAACACAGCAGATATTGATATTCAGCATGTCTCTTGTTAAAACAATGCAAATGTTTTTCAAACGTCTGTAAAAATGAATAAAAATGTCTTTCTATAATAATAACTCTGAGTTCAGACTTAAAAATAATCTCTGAAAAAGCATCGATCAGTATTTGTGCTTTCACGAGGAGCACACACACTGACGACTTGCGATATCTCCGTGTAAACCACCAGATACCAGCGTGACATGTAGGTCTCGCCCCACATTACATACCCATGTCTGACCCTGATCTCCAGATGGGTCTCTCCTGCACGACCATGCAGGTCACGCCAATACAGACGATTACTGCTTTCCAGGAAAAGCAAAGCAAATCTCATCTGACCGAA